TTGTTTGTTTGTTTTGGTTGATACCCTGAGTCTGTCAGGAAAAGGGAGGTGGGTGAGGATCTCTGACTGTGACAGGCCTGCTGCTGTCCCCCCTTTCCTTGACTATGGCGCTGTGAAGTTCTGCCTGTATCCTGCCTTCTCCTTCTTCTGCAGCATACCCCCGAGCTCTGTCATCTTTCCCTCAGTTGCTACTGACATTTCCAGGGCCGCTCATTGCCCTTTATATCCTGCCTCTCATATTTTGCCTTTGCTTGTCTGTCTCGGAATGTCTGGATGTCTCACGGCTGGTGGTCACAGTAGGATTGTGTAGGCAGAGCTGGGTGGAACAGCAGGGCAGGAGGTCTGTAGATGAGCAGGGCAGGGAAAGCCGAAGAGCAGAGATGAAATGGGTCCTCTGGCTTCAAACCTGGGAAGCAGAGTGTAGTCCTTCGATGGCGGCATGTCAAGATAGGCGGAGAGAAGCGGAATTGGAGAGCATAGTCTACCTTGGTTGTTCACAGTCATCCTGTGCTCAGGGGGAAGGCTGGGGTCTTGATCATGGGGACGGGGCCTCCCACAGAGTTCCTGGTGTTAGTGTAGGCACTGTTTCACAGTGTTGATAGAACACCTCATCTGTTTGTCTCAGGTTTCCTGTAGATGAAAAGCAGTAAGACTTGTTTAAAAATAGTCCTGTAGGGAATATTTAGGGGTATGCGTGGGATAAACAGTTTCTAAATGCGCGAGGACTTCTGAGGATTTGCTGACAAAGACGTTGTGACTTTAGCATTGTTCAGGAATGAAAGTTTTCCTGAAATGCGTCTGATGAAGAGTTAAACTGTTTTCAAAATGTGTCCATGCGCAGCTCATCTGCTCTGCCATGAAATGCCATTTCACCCTGATTTGATGGAGCCTTTTCTCCTTAAGCCTTGCATTTCCAGGGTGCTGTGCTCAGCATGGTAATTAGGGGCTGCTGGGGACTTGATGCTTCTGGCTGCCTCTTGAGCTCTCCTTTCCCAGAACTTCATCACTCACATGTCCCTGGCAGGCTGTGCGAGTGGAGGATTTGGGGAAAGCATGTAACAACCAGGGCTGTGGAAGTGGAGTCGGCCAGGGACTATAGCTTTTTAATTCAAGTTTGAGTCGGAGTTGCAGTGAGGTGAGACTGTTGTGACAGATTTCAAAATGTAATGATAGAAAAATGAGGGAGCTTCATCCGAGTCGCAGTAAATAGCGGAGCAACAGCTCAGCGACTCAGCATGAGGCAGCAGCCACATGCGCTCAAAAAAAAAAAAAAATACCCCGTAATTAAAATTTACATTGTGCAACCTCCTTCTGAGTGGGTACCTTTCCAAGGGAAGCAGTGATTTTATTGTGAAAAATATAAACACAAATTTGGAGATGTAAATTGTGTGCACGTTTTAGCTTTACCCATAAACACAGAAAGTTATGAAGTGTAAATATAATCAAACCACACAACTATAGCACAGATCAGACTCTGAGGAAGATCCCCCAAAGCAGAAAGCTCCCCTGGCTCCTCCCCCCTCCCCCACTCACTGACTTACCAGGTGGAATCCTATGCTCCCCATTTCTGAGGACATAGACCCTTCCCGTTTGTTTTATTAGTTAGAAAGGATAATGGGTTTGACTGGCTCGCTCTTCACCCGTTTCCCTTCCCCTTTCTCTGTGTGTGAGAGGCCAGGCACAGTGTTGAACAATGCAAAGTCAGAAAGATGAAGAAACTCACCTAAATGTTCCCAGAATCTTCTCATTTCCCCACTTAGAACATGAATGTCAGCTCCACTAGAGACAGCCCCGAGATGAGCACAGGGAGTTTGCCTGAAAGAGAAGATTCACCAGGGGACTGCTAAAAACAAACAAACAAACAAACAAACAAAAACAACCTGTGTGGCTCCTGCCCAGGCTACCACTGCTGCCATAGTGATTTTGTTTAGAGCCCTTTATTTCTTTGGGCCACAATTTCCCTGTCAAAGTCTTGGTTTTTGTTTGAAGGAGCTCCTCAGGGCCTTCTGAACCAGACTTCCTTCAGCATTGTGCACCATGGAGCCAGCCCTGTGCAGCTGGAGGCCTGGAGATCCAAGCCAATATGGGGACCCTTCTTGAGTCCCCAGGAGAATTGTTGCAGAAAAGCCCTGGGGGCCACTCTGCCCCACTCATTCAGGCTCCGATTCAAGGCTGAGATGTCCTGAGATAGTTACAGATGACATTGCCCTGGCCTTGTTTTGCTGCCTTCTCTTGGTGGGGTGCTCTCTGTCACTGCCATGAGGTTTGCACTGCCATCACTGTCACCCATCAAGGTCGGGACAAAAGTGTTTCATGGTGCTTCTGCTACACATTTCTCTCTGTGCCCTTACTAAAGTAAGGCAGTAGGAGCTCTCACGGGGTTGCAGGGAACGTAGCTGGAAAAGCAGCCTGTCCCATACATACAGCACACCAAGGGAAAATAAAGTTTATTTTCAAGGGAGGCATAACTTTGAAATCTTTTCTTTTAAATTCAAATACAGTTTTATCATCCCCCCCATTTCTTTTCTACCTCTAACCCCTTCCTTGCTCCCCTTTTCTCTCATTCATGCCCTCTAATACTTTAATTGTTGTTACACACACACACACACACACACACACAAACACACTCCTAAATATATAATTACAGTCTGCTCCATCCATATAGTGAAACTTGTGCGTCTAAGTTCTCAGAGCTGACCGTTGGGTACTAGAGTAGGTGCGCTCTTCCTGGAGAAGACAGTTTCTCCCGCTCTCAGCATCCCTTAGTTGTCTGTAGTTCCCTGTTTAGGGCTGAGGCCCTGTGAGGTTTCTTCTTCTGTTTTGCAGATGTCTGTCACTATTGCCCTCATTCGGGTCTTGTTTAGGCAGTCATGTTGATGAGGTTTCATAGATGTCGCTTCTCTGACATTTGTAGGCAATAAACTTTCGAAATAAGCCCTTTGCTCTGACTCTCACACTGTTTCTGCCCCCAGAGGAAGCTTATTTAAGAGCTTGAACCTAGTGTAACATGAAGCCTTTTTCGTAAGCTGTTGTCCCTGGGTAATGTGAGGTCACATTTCCCTTCTGGTTGTTTCTCAGGTAGAAATAGGAAGTACATTGAGAGTTCAGCAATTGCTTAGTGAGCGTGTCATCTCCCAAGAATGGTTGGGGACTTGAAGGTAAGAGAAATGGTTGTGGTTTGAAGAGAAATTTTCCAGCGGAGACCACTAATTCTTCCCACTAAACACCAGAAGGGACATTCCACAGGACCATGAAACCCTAGCCCGGCTGAGACTTTTCTATGTAGCCTTTGGGACAGTTGCTCTGGGCTTCCCTTTCATAAACAAATTAGGCCAGGCCTGCTATGAGAGAGGCCATATTTCAAGGACAGTGTTTATGGTTGGGGAACATCCATGGAAGAGGAAATTTCCGCTGCCGGGCATTAGGCAGTCCAGTCCAGTGAGTTGTGTGGTAGCACGTGGCCTTTCCCGAAGTTAGGTCACCTTCTGGGGCCACAGTTGACTGAGGCAAACAAGAGGTTAATCCTATAGCAGAGAAAGTTGGAGTCACAAATGCGACCTCTGCAAATCTAATATTCTCTTCCTTCACGCCGACCTATTAGCCAGGGCAGGGGTGCATCCCTGGGGAGTCTTTGCCAGCCTCTGAACATCTAGAGTCGATTCTGATCAGCTTTCTGTACCACAGAATACCAGGAAGTACCCTGATGTGGGAATGTGTATAATCCCAGAACTCAGGAGGTTGAGGCAGGGAGATGACAGGTTTCAAATAGCCGAGGCTGTGTGGTTAGACTCCATCTGAAGAAGACAAGCTGAAATGAGAGAAGCACAGAAAAGAAATGCACTCGTTACTTTCCTTCCCATCAGCTGACATGTGCATTTTACACGGTACATACAGTGTGGAGCACAGTTCAGAATGACACAGGCCTTTGGCATGGAGTGCATTCTAAGTGGAGGGATATTTTGGGGTGTCGAATTGAAGTTGTGGAGAGGCTAGGGTGAGGAGGGGAATACTACTGAGAATGCCAGAGCCAGGCATTGCCACTGTGAGGAAACTGTGGGTGAGCTGTGGCTCAAAGGATGCCCTGAAATTGGCTAGAAGACTACAGAAGACACGCATGGCATTCCTGAGGGAAAAGAGAGTTGTGAAGAAAAGGCGGTGAATTTGAGTGACAGAGCACAAAAATGTCCCATTCTGGCATGACCACTGCGCCGTGGTTTACAGGACCCCAGGGCGACCTCCCTGGGACCACAGGCAGCTCACCCAATGCTTATTGCTTTTATGTTCCCATAAAACCACGTCCTCTGCTCTGCTCTTGGCAGAGTAACCAGCAGTAACCAAACAGTGTCTGTGGAGTCCCCATCAGCTGTGCCCCAAGGCCACCACACCCCAGAGCTGCCTACAGTGCAAGGCAGCAAGGCTGGCAGCAGAACAGGCGGCTGTGGTGGGGTCTGACGCCAGCATCCTCAGCAACCCCCAGAGCTTCGCAGCTGCTTGTCGTTGGCATGTAGGTTTAGGTTCACCCTGACACTCCATGTGACATTCGAGCACTGGGACCTAGGGTTTGTTTAAGCTGTGGTAACCACCATACCATCTGGTCCGTGTCACTTTCCCACAGGTAGGCCCGATCTGCTTTGCAGTAAAGTCGGTGGTTTCCACGTTCGGATGAAGCCCAGCATGGACGGACCTCAGAACCTTGGAACATCTTCTGTGTTTCTAGAAACTTCCCCACTTCCTTTAGCCTAGTGGCAGAGCTCTGGGCTGAGTCTGTGGGCACGTGCATGTGGCTCGGCAGGCCAGGAAAGGGCAAACATCGACAATAAGAACTGACCAATGAGAGCTGGCCATCAGGGGGTTCCCCTCATCCGCCTCTCTACTTTACACATTCCTTTAGGCCAACTTTGCTTCATCCTCCCACTCATTTGGAAATGTGGTTGTCATCCTCTCTTTGTGACTACAAGTCCGTTTGAGCAAGCCTAATTTGTTTTTTCCTTTGCTTTCAGGAGAGTAGATCTGGAGAAAGCAACAGCTGTGTTGAAGAAATAATTCGGGTAAGGATGCTCTTTAAAATTTTATCAATGTGTTGGCCATACACAGATTTCCCAGAAGAAGGAAATCATGTGGCCACATTATCAAAGGGATCTGTCATGCTTTGCTGTTTGATGCTGACCTGTCCTGAGGGTGGCCATCCGAGTCACCCAAGTGACAGTTAATGAAGCGGCCCTGCTTCTCAGGAGCTCACCAGGGCCTTGGGGCACACTGAGGTGACACTGTTGAAGCAGTCAGCTAGAGGACCAAGACAACAGATGTTAGGTGAAAAATGCAGCAGGACCCCATCAGTATGTACCACTGTTTATCACCTGAGCATCCTTTAATATGCCGCCTTCTGAGTCAGGCAGGGCTGCCTGTGATTTCTCTCCTAAACTTAATTAGAATCAGAAGCTCCTGACAGAGACAGTGCTTGAGCCTGAAATTTATTTCTGTGTTGCATTACGGGTTATGAATTTCCTTGGTGCCTGTTGGCCCATCCCTCCCACCGCCTTCCATCTATGTGCACTCTCTCACACAGATGGAGTTGGGCTCCTGCTTGGTGTCAGTAGTCTCCCGAGTGTTCCAACTTATCCTCGAGAACTCATCACCAACCCAGAGCTTTTCTTCCCTCAGAGTCTTCTCAGGGAGATAACCTGAAAATGTACAGTTCTCGAAACACTGATGCCACACTGGGCAAAACCCCCAAAGAAATGACACCAGATGCTGTGGTCATTCCCTGGAAGGAGGAGAACATGAATGTGTTTCCACCTTTTGAGGCCCCTGCATGCCTTCATATGAATGACCAACACATAACATATTATTATATAATCGCTTGAATTAGAATGTTTACCTTTACAAACTGTTTTCAAAAACAGGATATTTTTCCTCCTGAAAAAATGTTATTTCACTAATCTTTTTGAACAAATTGGTCAGAATAACTAAAGTTAGATTTTTTTTTAATTCATGATTTTTTTTTTTTTTTTTTTACTTCTGAAGAAAACTGATCAAAGCCCAAAGGTTCATTTATGACCTTTAATTATGTTGAGTCCATGTTTTATTTAAGAAAATCTATATTATCTTTTTTGTTTCACATTAAACAGTGGATAGTATATGAGGCTGATAAACTTCTCCTAGTTTAGTCTTCCAGCATTCTTTCACGTTGGGGCTAAATCCTCCATTTTGTGTCACTTCCCTTTGGTTGCTTGTGGTGCCTGTGTTCGTATGCCACTCTCCCTTACTGTGATTAGACTTGTCTCCTTATACCGTCTTGTATCTAGTCTGAAGAAATTTGGCATTTGAGATACCCTCTCCTTTGTCTTCTTCCTTTTGCTCCTGACTGGGTCTCCCAGGCTGGCCTGGGACCCACAGATCTGCCCACTGCCCATTTGCTGGGATTCTCCGAATCACCCATCCTCCATGCTCAGCCCTGGCCTTTTGGTTTTTCTTTGTAGACAAGGCTTGAAGTTGAAAGAAGGACTTGAATAATTTATACATCAAAAGTTATACTTTAAGGAAATTGAAATTCATTGAAGTAAGGCAGATTCCTTCAGTCCAGTTTGAAGCTTTCACGAGAGCCTCATGCCCTCAGCTATCCAACTCCTACCTTCCTACATCACTGATTCACAGCCTCAGGCCTCCTCCCATCAGGTGTGGTCCAGGGAGAAAGGCTGGCGCTGTGGAGCAGCTGGGTTGGCGCCCACAGACGAGGCTGAAGTTCGAAGTTCCCGTCCGTGTGCTCACTGGGCTTGACGTGGGGACTGTGGGAGAAGATAGTGGACTATTTAAGCTCTCCTCCTCTCAAAATCTGTAAGTCCAGTACTAGAGGAGGCAGCTGTGGTACCAGTCCTGTGGGGGGGGTGTCTTTTACACCAACCCCCAGCCCACAGGTGTCCTTAGTGAGCTGATGATGGAGGAGTCACGGGGATGTGCTGTGTCGCCAGCGGCCCCGGGTTTTCCTGCTGTCCCTCGCCTCACTCGGTTGGTGATTCTCTACCGTCATCTTTCCCCCTCTCCTGACATGTACCGTCTCCCCCAGACATAAGCGCCGTGCTCCTTTTGACTCACAGCTCCAATACTTCTGTGTATCTGTCCCTCCCAGACTGTGGCCCCAGTTGACAGCCCATGAGCAAGGAAATGAGTGAGGGCCTCCAAAGGAGAAGCCCAAGAGCCATTGCAGTGTGGTCATTGTGAGTCATGGATGTGGTTGGTGGGTCTTTTGATGTCTGGTTTCCATGGATAGTCTTTATAAAGCCCAATTTTCCTCATAACCTCTCTGCTGTGTGACTCACTCAGGGAAACCGGATGTGGCCAAGGTCATCGGGAGTACTGGTTTGAGGCCGTGCTATCTAAGGGGTGATACTCTCTTGTGCAGGAAGCAGAGGGCCCCCAGAATGTGTTAGAATGTTGACAGAGTTCTCATGTCCTTTCTGTGTGGAAAGGCAACTGGGCAAACAGTGGTAGACTGAGTAGGCACGGCCTCCGGCCCTGGTAGGACCATCTGCCTAGTGGGCAGTGTCGATACTGACGTTTCCGAGGTCCACTTAGGAAGTAGCTGTGACAGACTTGCAGGGATTTCTGTGACCCTACCCTACCATATGCTGTATGTCCTTTCTTGTGGTTACGGCTGATCTCACTAAGGAAGCGACTGGTAGGTAGGAGAGAAACAGGACATTGACTGAGGCATGATGAGGGCCCCAAAGCAAAGGAAGTGGCAGAGTCTGTCAGAGCCTGGTGAGGACAAGGTAGGTGAAGTGACCAGAGAATGGGCAGATGGAGGTAGGAGGAACCAGTGCTTGCCTCTCGGGCATGTTGAGGCCCTGTGGAAGGGAGCCAGGGGGTTGGTGTGGAGGGTGAGCTGGTCACATTGACCATTTCAGTTCCATATTCCGACAGCCATGGAGGATGGAGTGAAGGGATGAGGAGGGGACAAGAAAGGCGGAGGCCATTGAAAGCATGCAGAGGAGAGCTACCTGGAGGCCAGTCTCAGAGGCGAGCCACAGCAGCACTTAGGATTGCTCCTGCCTCAGGGTCGGGGGGGAAAGAGGGACCCAGTGACAGACTAGGCGAGGTGAAGAGCATTCGGGGCATCCACGACGTGACAGAGACCAGCATGTGGGTGGGGCAGCTGTCAGCAGACAGCTGAGCTAACAGATGCAGCCCACGTTTCCAGGAGAGGGGCTGGGAGCCACAGCCAGAGTGTGAAAGGCGCAGGACGGGAAGGTCCACCTGTAAACGGAAGTGAGGAGTGGACATGCAGCCCTGAGAATCTCAGAATGACGGGCGTCAGGGCCAGTCTCAGCGCTCCGGGGAAGGTAACCAGGGCAGGGAAAGGGCTGGCCCGTGCGTCCACGCGTTAAACACACACAGGTTGACGGCTCACACTGCCAGTGACGCCTTTAACTTCTGCTTCTTCTCCCTTTTTTTATTTTTTTGCTGAAGTGGCTGTTTTCGCATCATTTGAATATCACAATGCATTCTAAGGTATAATTACTTTTTATTCTTACTCAGAGAATTTTAATCCTGGGACCTAATAAATCTGTGTGTAATTACAGAATTCTCTTATCCGAGAGCGAAATTACCACGGAATTCTGTGGAGATGGGCCACAAGGCCTTGAGTGAGGCCTTGTGGCTGACATAGGCGCGTGGTACACAGTTGTGAAAGTGGTCGGACTTTCACTCCCCTGAAGGTTCAAGGGGCACCCACAACACCTCGGTGCCTTTCATAGCCTCGTCCATCAACATACAGTGGCATTTACATCTGTTGAGTCAATAAAAGCCGTTTACAGCATAATGGAAGGAGCACAGGGCTGGGATCCAGGATACACGAGTTTTATGCAAGAAGGTTTTAGGTCACGCTCTGCTGAAGGCACCCCACGAAGTGCTGTGCCACTTAAGGACGACTGAGGGGCCGGCGCTGGGGCCCGGCTTGCCCTTAGAGATCACCTGAGTGTAGCTCCTGGACAGATCCCGCTCCCGCCGGTCACCTGCACCCACTGACTTAGCTCCAGTGTGCGCCCTACAGAGTTGCATAGGGCTGCGTACTGCTGTTTACGAGAAAGGGGTAAGTGCTGCTTGTTGACACTCGTGATCCGTTTCCTGAGATTATAAGGGAACAGCTCCAGACGAGTACAGGGAAGCCATTTCCCCCTTAGCTCCCCCCAGACCGAAAGCCGGCGCTGCGCAGCCTCACTGGAGAGGTTTGTGTGTGGTAAGCGTGTCATACGGCTTGCCCGTCATCACAGCCTGTCTCATAGCCAGGCTCTGCCTGGTGAGACAAGAGAGGCCTTGTGCTCAGACGTCTCCGTGCCCCTCGCCCCAGATGAAAACACGTTAGCTGCTCTGTGCCTGCTGGAACGTGGGAAACAAAGAGATGGCTTGTTGGGGTCACATCTCTTCCTCTGCAGGCCAGAGCGGCTTTTTATAAAAGCCTGTACTGTTTCTCTTACAGTTATTTATCATTTGTTTCTAACAGTAAAGATCTGGTTCATGACAAACTGAAGCCCACCAATGACAAAAAAAAAAAAAAAAAAAAAAAAAAAAAAAAAATCAGCCCAGGGAGAGCTGCCCAGTAGTAACAGTCCGTTACTTCTTATAGGAAAGTAAGCCAAGAGAAGCGCGATGCTGATAGAGAGAGCTCACTAAGCCAAACCTATCATCTTACCCAAGAACACACTAGGCCGTTTCATAGTGTTGTATTTTATGCTTTCTTCGCGCTTTTGGCTATCTGAATATTAAGGACAGAAACTGCACGTGTTTAGATTTCACTCTACATCTATCGATACATTCTTAATTTAAAAAAAAAATCACGGTTGGTGCATTGGATAGAAACCAGAAACCCCGTAGAAAGGGCTGCGTTCCCACCTGCCCCGGGTGCCAGGTCACTTGATGCGGGTCCCTCTGGCCACGCTCCACATGCTAGGCTGTGAGTCTAAGGAGTTCCGTCTCCATAAGAGAGGTGGGTCTGGCCCCGCGGGCTCTGGGGTGACAGCCACAGAACCCTAAGGTACAGAAGCTCCTTCTG